TATGGTTGGGTCAAATTTGTGTGGTGGTTGAAAAATACAGGGGGAGTCTTTATGGCCCAAAATAGTGATTTCAGACTACATTGGTAATGTAATTCGACAGGCAAATTACAGTAACATTTTTAGCAAATTTCTTTGAATAAACATCGTAGGCATAGGGCCTAGCTACGTATACAGTATTTTCATTTTACAGTACGTAGTTTGGAATGATATTGGAAGTTGGGGTGCTGGCAGTGGCCTGCTATTAGGACTACAATTTATTTGAAAATATCTTGGATCCGATCGTCCACACCAGTTGGGCCCAATCGTCTATCACCCGAAGTTTTTATTACGATTATCAAGAACGTACACGATCTATGCTCTGGGCTAGGCTTAGCTTGCTGTCGTCACTCTGCTACGTATACTACACTACGACCGCATAACAAAGAAAGCGACCCACGTGGTGCATTCTTAAATATTACACACATTATTTAATTGTATTAGACAATAACACGATATCATTGATTAAACGATCTAACTAGGCCTACCCTTGCATCGCAGTAATACTGAACTAGGCCTAGCTCAGGCCTCATGTTTTTGTGGAAAGCTAGATAGTCGTTATGTACCCGACAGTCGGCTGCCTTTATATTTTCACCTGTTTTCAGTTTGCATTCAAAGGGTACATTGCTGCACAGCCAACTGTCGGGGATATAGTACCTTCATATGACTACTCATACGTATACAACAGAAAAAACGTCGCATGGACTAAGTGAAAAATGGAGATTTAAATGAAGAAACGATGTATTTCAGCAAGTATTAAAACATTTTAGTTTTATTTTAGGACTTCTTCAAAATACCTATGCCTACAGCAGATGATTTTTTTGCCGTAAAACCAAAATAGTTTCATCCATGCCGCCATTCCGGTCGGTTAGCGTGAGCCCTGACTGAACTCGGCAGAAACTTCACATCGATCTTCGCATCGCGATGTAAAACAAAATGTCGGAAAACTTTTCTTTGACGCATGCGCATTTGCATAAATGTCTACACATACACACTACACACAATAAAAAACATAGGAAATAGCAAGAGTGATTACAATAGTTCCTATTGCATTACATGCATAGGAACTAAAAAATCAACAAACAACAGCAGACCATATTTTTTTTTAATACTAATACTTTTGTTCCATATTCCTTTCGACTTTAATAATGTGATATTTTAAGACTTTTTATGTTTTAATATATGATGTTTTAAATGAAGTAGGCCTTCAGTATTTTAATATGGTGTTTTAATATAGTATTTTTAATTTTTTTTTCTTTGTATTTCATATGTATGCTAAGAAAAATACACTCAAAATATTTTCTGGAAGGACTAAATAAAGCTGAAATGAATGAATGTATGAAGCAATCTCAACATAGCTGTAACCACTAAAGGTACTGTATAGACTAGTCCAACGCATGCGACATGCCTAAATATATTTGGTTGTGATATGATCATGATCACATCACAACCAAATATGGGCAAATCATAACTATATATGGGCAATCAACAGTTTTTTGTCAAATAAAATTTGATAGTCTAGCTACTTCGCGATCCTTTTTCTGTTATTAAATATTCATTAGCATTTTTAATTTATTTTATTGTTATGTCCTTTTTATTATGTCTACTGTAATTTTTAAATGTTTTTTATATAATTGTATTCATGTTTGTAATACTGTATTTAAATGTTTATGTTATATTTGAATTATGTATATAGAAATATGATATTGTATGTGTTTCGTCGTTGTCGTAAGGAAAGCCCTTTGACAGTTGATTGATCTACTTTTGGGCAATCCTGCCACAGGGCAACTATATTTTTATACATTATGGCGCAATAAATGAAATGAAATTAAAAAAAAAAGGCTCAACATTAATATTTATGCTACATATTTTAATTTTATTGAATATCATAATTAAAACTGACTAAGAAGCATTGAAACTGGTACCTACCTGAAAGAAACCTGTACTCCTATACCATGGGAAGACTGAATTGTCCAAATGCATTCAGTACTAAGAGGATAGCTGTTAGGGTAACTTGGACTGTTGAAAGCACCTGAAAGTGCTGTGTAATCACCCCCACAAGCTAGTAGAAATGGAAAAAACACATGCTATGCACTTTTTTATACCTTACCCTATACTCCAAGCCAAAACACAATTATCTTGTGGAACATTACTCACAAACATTTTAAAGAATTATATACCTCATACATAGATTCTAGGCATCTGATTGTTAAAAAGCGGGCAATAGAAAGTACTATTCCACTGAAAAAGTACTATTCTACTGAAAAAAGTACTATTCCACTGAAAAAGTACTATTCCACTGAAAAAGTACTATTCCCCTAAAAAATAGTACTTTTTTGCCCCGTCAAGTGATGTGCAAACTCTAGGCCCCACTTAACATGACACTGACAGTAAATGGGACTGCTACCTCTACGATAAAAGAGACCGCACCACAGATCAGTGAGTAGACGATAAACTAATATGGAGGCTGGTTAGTTCGAGCTCCTGGATGAAGAAGGACTAGCCTAGGTCTAGGTCTTTGATCGCCTACTAGTAGGCCTCTAGTTAGCCTAGGCTAGGCAGTAAGTAGATTTTTAAGCCTCGTAAAATCTATGTATGAGGAATATAAAACAAATATTGACTGCTCTAGATTCGGGGAACAGTGAAATCTATTGCCCCGAAGTGATGTGGAGACCGCAACATATATTCAATCAATAATTTATGGCTCTTTCCCAAAATAGCAGATAGGTGCTTGTGCTGACTCCTTCAGAAGAGTTCACTTTTTTCCCCCAACTTTTCAGACTGAAAATCTTTAACAGTGAAACACAGTGATGCAGAATGGCAAAGAACATACCAAGTATTATGATTTAATGTGAAGATTTATGCGCATGTCCATTTATTGTGTTTGTAAAAATAAATTTCACTTTGAAGAGAAGATTATATATATATAGGTATATATATTGCATATTTATTATTTTTACCTGATGTTGAAGTAGTATAAACTGCTCTAAATCCAGTCTGCTGAGCTGATCCATCAGAGACAAACAACAGAGTCATAGCTGCACCGTTTGAAGTGATTGATGCCGGGACAGTGGTACCACAGTACGTGCCTACTTCTGGCGCATACTCATCATTACCATTTAGGACTTTCACACTGTCATGCATGCAGTTACCATCTGTACTTTCTTCAATGTCCATGTGAGTGAAAGTGAGTGTAATACGGTCTCCTACAAAATATAGTTTTCAAGTATGAATACCTTTTTTTATTGAAAAGTGTTTTTTTTTTTTTTCGTTTTTCAGCATATGCCAGCACCAGAAATTCTTTTTTCAACAACTCAGCCTTTCTTTAACAACAAACTTAGGAGATAAAGTTATTTATTTAGATTATGTATTTAGTGTTTCTTCTTTTAAGCTTTAATCATAATCTTGTATTTATAGTGCAATTTGTATTTTTTATATTTTGTATGTCTTTTCTTTATACAATACTTGTTATGCAACTGGAACAAAATTTTGTATGCATCATGTTATATACAACAATAAAGTTACTATGTATCTTGTATAATTTCTTTCAAAATCTCTGTTCATGTCAAATAAAAGTTCTCCCCCACCCCCTACACCCAACAAATGGGTTATCCCAAATCCACCTGCTACCCTTAAATTTATCCTATGGTCCACCCCTGGTAATTAATGGAAAGCATTTAATACCATTTTACCTGGATTTACAGATTCGATGACCCATGTACAGTTCTGATACGCATAGTAATCATTAGGATAATTTGAAGAAGTTACCACACCATCTTGGGCTGCATCACGGCGGCCCCCGCAGGCTATTGAAAGATAATTAAATATAGACAGTTGCAACTATTATATTTGTTTTATTTTAAATATGAATGAATGGGTGTATAGATGGATGAATGAATGAAAGGATGGGTGAATGAATGAATGAATGAATGAAATAAATGAAATGAATAAATGAAATGAATAAATGAAATGAATGAATGAATGAATGAAATGAATGAATGAAATGAATGAATGAAATGAATGAATGAAATAATGAAATGAATGAATGAATGAAATGAATGAATGAAATGAATGAATGAATGAATGAATGAATGAATGAATGAATGAATGAATGAATGCATGAATGAATGAATGAATGAATGAAATGAATGCATGACTGAATAAATGAATTGATGGTTGGATGGATGGATGGATAGATGAAAGGTCATTTAGTATCACGTGAAACTGTGTCACCTGTATCATAATTGGCATTGAATCCTGTGTTTGCTACGCTGCTGTCGCTAAGCATACGGATGAACATATAATTCGAAGTTGAATAATAAACATCAGTATCCAGATTAGATCCACAGAGATTCGCAATCATAACGGCATTATCATCTTGTCCATCAAATAACTAAAAGGAATCAACATAAAAGCAAAATACCTAAGCATCCTCAGACATAAGCTATATAAGGTAAGTCCAAAGTTGGCTATACACCCAAAATATAATCTCACCTTTATGTATTAGCCCACTTGGGAGTAAAGACAACATTTGAATAAGCCCAACTTCATCAAATATAATCCCACATTCAGATATAAGCCCACGTTAAAGTACAGTTTGCCCTCCAATGCAAGACCACAAGTGGGACCTGAAATATTTAAAGTGGTCTTGTAGTTTATAGAGCAGCTTAGCTCAGTCGCTAAACTGGTGGTAGCCACTGTGTGTGCGCCGAGTCGTAGAGATCTACTGTTCACCGATTCAATTCCATTTGCTGCTCAAAAGCACACCATCTTTCGGATGATGAGCTGTTGTCCCCGTGTGCAATATGGCCCATGTGCACGTTAAAAGGAAACTAGAATGATGATTTTTTATTTCTAGAGGGGATTTTTGATGTGGCAGTAGTAATAGAATCAATTTTTTAAATAATTTTTTATGAAGTTATAGGCCATTACGATTTTGCCCCATCAGCAGCATGAGGTCAGCACCACTATACAATTTTCGGTTACAGTACTTTACTCTGACCTCACACTGCTATAGGGGTAAAATCATAATAACTATATAAAAAATTGCCAAAAAAAAAAAATTTACAGTTGATTCTATTACTAATGACATATCAAAAATCCCCCCTAGAAAAAAATATCTTTCTAGTTCCCTTTTAAAGAACGCAGTACACACTTCAGAAAAGAGTAGGGGATTGTCTCCTGGTGTACAGCCCAATCACCACCAGAAGGACCCCACTGGAAACAAATAATCGGGCTTAGTGCATTCCTTGGTGTGATTCATATACATTTCCACCTCCAGGTATTATAAGCTGAAGTATAAGACCACATGTGAATATAAATTCATCTTTTTGCTATAAACCCATTCATAATTTAGTGAAGGACATCTCACACAGAGACTATGGTCTATATTTGCATCCAGAAAAATGCGGAGCAGCGTGTAAGGCGCTGAGCTGTCAATCAGAGGGTCTTGGTTGTAAAGGGCATAAAAAGCCAACATATACTAAAGCAAGCAAAATATTGGCACATGGAAAATACCTTCAGATAATCATACTGGCAGTTATCTGCACTTTCAATGTCAAACGCGAGGAAAGTGAGCTTAACACGGTGGTCATCTGCTACGGTGATTAGCCAGGTACATTCGTAATTATGTGGGTAGGGTTGTGGATAGTTTTTGGACTCAATGTGGCCGTTTGATGCAGTCTGATTTCCGCCACAGCCTGGAAAATTAAGCATTTCAGTTCATGTATTCATTTGTTTTAAAGATCTGTCAACCAATTGTGACCCAAGCTCACAAACAGGCTGTAAACTCGCACTGCACTGTATTGAGAAACAAGCCTTAATACCCAGAATAGGGCATAGAACGTGCATTTTGTGTGAATTGGGTTTTTGTGTAATAAATAAAGTATAACTATTAATCTTAATATTCCTGAAGTTTGAGTTTAAAATTCCAACTCTAAGAGGTAAAATTTAGCCATTTTCGGATGGGAGCTAATGAAAAATGAATAGAAACCTGCCGAAAATAAAAGCATTTTTCTCAAAACTTGATTTAAGAAAGTTGATAAGATGACAATTATTCAAACGGTCATAACTTTACTTCCAGACACCCGATTGAGTTCATTTAACTGTCATTTTAAAGTAAATGATATGTTGTATGTCATTATAACAAAAACACATTTTGGCCTGAGGACGAGTTTACAGCCTATTTGTGAGCTTGGGTCACAATTGACAATTTTTTGGTATCTTCCCATATGGGAATGATGATGTAATATCTATCTATATGTGGGCAAATCACATGAGTTTGTCACATTTAAAAACCCAATATATGTGGAATTATCACATATATCAGATTTTAAAGCCATACACTAGTGTAAGAAATTAGTAAAGGATTTTTTTCTGAACTACATGATCTACGGCCTGATAATAAATCTAATATTAAGCAATATTTTTTCAAGCTTTGCCATAAGAAAGGGCTCTCCCTGGGGTCTAGTACTTAAAATTGGGTTAATCTGTCTGGTGAGACCCAACCTGTGGCAGAAGCACACCTTCAATTGTGATGTTGGCCTGTAAAACAAAAAAAGTCTGCATAATGCATTCATAAATACTAATCCCACAGGTATTCAATTCTGCTTTATCATAAAAATTGCAATGCATTTTGAAACTTACAATAAATAAAGAAATACTAAAACTAGAATTCTAAACAAAGAAAAACAAATATTTTATATTAATTAAGTAATGTAAATTAAATATCTGTGGTATTTTGCTGACTCATTCATTTATTCATTCATACTGACATAGCAGTTCTTTACATAGATATAAACTGATACACAAAATTCACACAATTAAACAAATAACAAGAAACAAAGAACCACATAACAGCACACAAAAATATCAAATAATTTACATATTAAATTGATCAGATTAAAGGTAAAAAAGTATAAACAATAATAATTGCTTTTCTACATAAAAAATACTTATTTTAAAATTGATTAAAAAAAAAGGGAATAGGTCCCAAAGTTTTCAGCTGCAAGAATATGGCAAGTCTGAAGCCAGGCACCCACTGGGATGACGGTTGCAAGACTGTTGGCCGACAAATCTGATTCCACTCCCTGTGAGCGTCAGACAACGCCGTCAGCTAATTGTTGTAGGCAGTCTGAATTGACCATCATTAAAAAGGACCGTGCGCATCGTAACGTTGTGTTCTTCATAGAATTATGTCGGCCAACGACCGTCGGACGCAGTGTGTGCCCTTCTTAATAATGACAAGTCTATTAAAACAGAAGAATCTTACCATTAGGATTAGCCAAAAAGCTTGAATTAAAGCCACGACCATTAACACTATTATCTGTTAGGAACCTCACATACATCTCATTACTGGTGGTTGTCACTACAATTGGCTTGTCTTGCGAATGACACAAATTTGTCAGAGGATTCAGACTGTCGTCTATGCCAGAATACACCTATTGGAAGAGAGCAATTACATTACACAGTGAGGAAAAGGAACATCAAAAATCGATTATAATAAAGCTTGGCGAAACCATGGTAAACAACTCTGTGGAAGTTTTAGATTTTTAGACATCATGGTTAATTATAAGGAAATTTGGAAAGGCAAGTTGAACTGAATTTATGTATTCAGAACACAAAGGTAAAGTTCACCGAATACCAGCAACGCCTGAATCCAGATCTCGGCGAGGTAGAAGGGAGGGCATTTATCTAATGAAGTATTCAAGAAAGACTGGTATTTACATAGGTATTTGTAATGTTTGGTCTTCAGGTGGGAGAATAACACTGACATACTGGTCAATCCAGGTAGGTATTCACAAAATAAAATATTCCATAATTATTCCACTTACTTTCAAGCTATCGTATTGACATCCAGCAGATGATTCCAAATCGAAATCATTTATAGTTAAAGTGATAGAGCTTCCAATTTCACTAGTGACAATCCAAATACACTCTACTGCATGCGGGTACCCTACAGGATACCCAGGACTGGTGATAATGCCGCTGTTACTATTTATTACACCGCCACATCCTAAAAAACAACAAAGAATTGCAACCGTAAAACCTCGAATTGAAGCCCAGTGGGCTTAATCCCGAGATGAAGCCCATCTCGAATTTAAGCCCCCTCTTTAGTTTGCAAAATCAGCTTCGAAAAGAAGCCCATCTCGAAAAGAAGCATGGGCTTCTTTTCAAGATAGCACAGGCTTCTTTTCGAGATAGTACAGTACATAAACTGTACATGAATTTCAGAAAAACAAAAAAAAATTTTAAAAAATTTGTATCATTGAGTGATTTAATGCCAGTTAAATACATTCCATGTTACAGGTTGATGTGACAGTGGCCTTATGTGTTGTTTTCTAATACAAATTCACAAAATTTACAGCATTCATTTTGAAAAGAAGCCCATCTTTACTTTACTTTGCAAAAGTAGCCTCGAAAAGAAGCGCATCTCAAAAAGAAGCCCATCTGGAAGCTTCAATTCGAGGTTTTACGGTATATACATAAAGCCAAATAAAAAAATTTAAAAAAAATTATTTTCTCGTCCCCTCGCGCATCCATTTTCTCTGCCTCATCACATTTACACAAATTTTTTTTATTTCCTTTTATTTTACGAAATGTTAAAAAATCTGTCTAACTCATATCTGTAAAATTCCTCTCTCGATCTTTCGTGGTTTGGGATGCATATGGTATGAATTATGTCTAGTGCTTCTTTTATTTGCTTTCAATGTGTCTAGATCTATTAATCAATTAGCAGTATAGAAGAGGCAGTAGAGTATATTGGCCCTAACGGCGGCTCATACAAAAAAAATCTATTAATCAATCAGCCAAAATAAGGGGTTTTTTTTTCTGCAGGTAGGTTGAGCCCATTGCAGAAAAAAGCTAAATTTATTAATCAATGTACTTGGGTACTCCTAGAGCTCCTCATCAGAGCTAAAAAAGTGCCCTCAATCTCTTTTTTTCAAAATATTAGGACGAGAAACTACTTTTTTTTTACTTGGCCTAACCCAGATCCTTGGTTTAATTTTCATCGTTACAAACACCTTTTTCAAGCAGTCACTGGCAGCAAAGAACGCATAACAGTGCTCTTGAGATGCAAGTGTGTAGGGTGCTATACAAAAACAAAATTATTTTTATTAGTCAAGAAAGAATTCTAGTCTTACCATCAACTGCATACACTGCTCGGAAACCAAATTCTGCAACTGAGTTATCACTTACGAAGTGGATCAAGAGAGTTGAACCGGTGCTTTGCAGACTGTATCCTTCTGGTAAAAACAGCTGTCCACAAATCGTAATGAGTACTGGTGCGTTCTCATCTTCACCATCATGAACCTTGAGAAAACACACCAAAATTTAAGTAATAGTAATGGGTGACCAATACCTACTGTTACTTGTATTTTTCTTTTTCTTCAGCGCTACGATCATGATGTAGTAGTGCTATATATATACACAGTATGTATGTATCAAGTTTACTTCTCCGACGCACACCTCTAAAAAAAATATGTGCCTTGCTGTCTATAATTATACTAACCTCAATATAATCATAACCACATGTATTATGATCTTCGAGATGGAAGTTGGTGAATGTAAGGTTGATTTTGCTCCCTTGGCTGGCCCGAATCGTCCAGGTACAGTCAGAGTTATGTGGGTAGGGGTTTGGATAGTTAGGGCTCTCAATGATCCCATTTCTTTCTTCTAGAACTGTATTACAGTCTGTGGAGGAAAATTCGTATTTAGTCATATCAGAGAGTGAATTTTGCCAGCTGCACACATGGGAACATCCAGCTTTCTATATAGCCACACACTCAAAACTTTCTTTGTTCCCTGTGGCTTGAAGCACCTACTTCATTATATAGCACTTGCTTATGTACCATATTCTTACATACAAGATTTAAAATAACAAATTACGTTAAAAAAACGTGTAACAAATACAAACAATTTTAAATCATATTCGTCTATGTGCGGATCATCCGTAACACAGATTTGTAACATGCAAATTTACTACTGAAATGAAGTTCTTAGTATGATGAATGAATGCAATTTCAAATGCTGGGAAATAAGGTTTTAAAAGCCCATAAAATGGTATTATTTGGAAGATTAGCCCTAGATCTGTCATTTTTTAGCTAGCTAGATAAATAAAAAGTAGCAAAAAGTAGGAAGGTAGTCTTATATGCCTGACATACAAAAATCATCCAAAATCTTCTCAAACTCGGTGGTCATCTTACATGCGAGAATATACAGTGAATATACAGTATCTATAAACAAAGATGTTGGTATTAATTAGAATGAAAACATCCATCTTACTAGCAGAATAAGAAGCTTGGAAACCACCTCCACTGACTGAGAAGTCCGTCCTGAACTTTACTCTCATCTGGTTACCAGATGAAGATAGTGGTAACAATGGGTGATTACTACCACAAAATGTTCCAAGTTCATTATCTGCTTCTGAGGCACCATCATATACCTGCAAAATAAAACAAACAGTTTTTGGTTAAAATTTTAAAACTGCAATTGACTTAATTGTGTCAAATCTGGGAGAAAACTTTAAAAATTAAACTATAATATTTAACAATATATTCATTGTTACATAATAGCATGATGAATGGAACTTAATGTCGAAGGCCTATTGTGCTTCCCGGGTTAACTGTGATTATCCAAAACAACTGCGCATTGTTTCATAAAAAATTTTAAAAAAATATTACAATACTAATTAAAAATAAATGACAGTAAATAATACTATTAAATTACTGGTAATCATTAAAATTAATTTAAAAATAGAAAAAATATAAATTTAGACAGATTCAAATCTGCTAATTAAACAAATAAGAAGGCAGGATAGGCAATACTATTAGCAAAGATAATAAATAGCAGAAGACAGAGCAGTTCACGATATATACGTCCGGTTGAAATGCCTTGTGGGAGAACAGAGAGCATTTTTACCCCTCTCGCGCCGCTTAGGTTCGTTTGTTTCCTGCACTTTCTCCACTTAGTCAAATGGTCATATTTTACACCGCTCGCGGGAGGGTGGATGTTCCATCGATTGTTTATGCAAATACGCAAAAGAACTAATTCTTCTGCTATTTAAGTTCTTTGCTATTAGTTAAAAAAAACATATATTGGTTATCAATATCTTACCTTGACATAATCATATACGCATGATGAGTGGAACTCAATATCAAAGTTCATAAATATCAGGCTTATTGAGCTTCCCTGGTTCACTGTGATTAACCAAAAACACTCTGCATTGTGTCCATATGAATATGGATAATTTGGCGATGAAAAAGATCCAGTTGGTGTTGTCATCTCACCTCCACAACCTGTCATAAAGAAGTTCATATGTTATGGCTCCTCAACCAACCAACCAACCAACAAAACAACCAACCAACCAACCAACCAACCAACAAAACAAACAACCAACCAATCAATCAATCAATCAATCAATATCAATCAATCAACAGGTATCCATGATAAAATACAGTGCTCGATGGTGCAATGACATTTCTCAAAGTGCCCATGATGAAATTATTCAAACAAAATTAATCATCAACAACAACAACAACAACAACAACAACAACAATACTAATCTATTAACATTTCACCTTTATATCAGTGTATAAGCACATATCCACATGTATACATGTGGATGGTGGCAGTTTGGCGCAGCGGGAACGGTTTGGATTCCCAACTAGAGTTCGGGGATTCAATCCCTCGCTGTGCATTTCACTTGTGTCCTTGAACAAGGCACTTTATCTACATCGCTTCTCTCCACCCAGGAGTATAAAAGGGTACCTGGTGGGGTTGCCTGCTCCTGCACTAATTTGCAACTCTTAAAGCATGTTGACCCAATGACCAGGGAAAAAGAACTGCTCTTTATAACCTCAAGGAAGAGGCGCATTATAAATGACTGTACCAGTACCAGTAACCAGATGTTGCTGAGTGTATGTGCACATTTTTGCTTGGTGGTTAAGCTGGCTGTCTTAAGTTCAAACTCAGCCAAGGATTGTTCAGGGGCGGATCAAACCGGGAAAAGGACACGTTCCCCCATTTTGCCACTACATTCTTTTTAATTCAATGAATACATATGCAATGTAAATGATATGAATGCAATGTAAAGAATAGAACACAAATACAGGATGTTTCAATAGGGCCTCCAAGCCCATCGTTAAGCCACTGCTGCTAGTGCATCTCACTTATATATTCTGATAATTTGGTGTGTCCCCTCCCGTTTGAAGCATTAACAACAATAATAAGTTTATATAACGCATATTGCAAAAAAAAGCTGTCTCTATGCACCGTTACTATTATCCCCCCTCCCCCAACATCTCTATGACTGATACCTGTAGCTGTTCCATCCCATTCCACACGGAATCCAGGTGCTGTCTGGGAGTAGTCGGATTGGAATTTTAGGTACATGCGGTTACTATGAGATGTTATCACTGAAGGGTTGATACTAGATCCACAGAAGGTCCCTATCAGAGGTGATGTTGGATAGCCACCATTTCTGAATTAGAAAAAAAAAATTTAAATTTAATACAAATACTTCTTTGAGCTACAAACACACAGAAAAAGAAAGTATATTACATTTTCTGATTTGAATATTGCTACTGGTGTAGTTTTTAGGATTATTTTTTTTACCAAGTAGCAAATCCCTTATATGTGCTGGCGTTGCCCCCATTGCAGTGCACAGTAGTAGTAGTCCAGCATAATGACGCTGTAGTAGGTCGGGAGTGTGCATTTCCGTTTCCTTTCGTGTTCACTGTTTTAAAAATTTTTTTAAAGGCTTGTTTGTTTTCTTTGTGTTTTCGTTTCATTTTTTTAATTTAAAAAAATAATTATTCATATATGAATACTTTCATTGCCTTGACATGAATATACTGAGGAAGGCATTCTACAAATATTCTACCATTATCATTACTATATTATTGTTCAACCTCCCATCGGCAAATACTGCCTGACTTAACTGTTCAGTGTGAGATATATGCTTTAAAAAAATCCACCAAAGTTGATCTGAACAGAAAAACACTGATCGTTCAAAAGTTACGTAAAGTAAAAGCTCTATAAGGCAGAGTAAAGGGTCATGTCAAGAGTCAAATATCACAAGGTCAGTTTATTTGCAAAAACGTCACTATGTGATCTCATGCAAATCTTTGAACTTTACTATTTTCTAATGATACAGAATCTTACCTAATCTCGAGATAGTCATAGTTACAGTCAGAATGCCACTCAATATTGAATGATGTAAAGTTTAATCGAATCTGTTTGCCCTCATCCACCGTGATGGTCCATGTGCACTCCCTGTTGTGAGGATAAGAATTAGGAAATCCTGGCGAGGTAATTACACCGGTGTCTGTGTAGTACTGTCTACCACAAGCTGTTCAATTACAAAATAACAAAATTATTTCAAATGGTTTACTTTAAATAGTAAAATTTAGCTTATTTGTTAAAAAATACATGTTTTTTTTACTAAGAAAATAGCTGTTTCATTATTATTTAATCTGACATGATTTATCTGGCAATACGTATGTCCTGGTGAAGGTGTACTCTATTTTGTGTGTTTCAATGGACAACCAAGTCATTTATTTTTTTTTATATCTTGGCATAATATGCTTACTTTTACCATCAATATTGATGAGAGGAGGTCACAATATTTACTTAATTTATAAGCCATCAAATACTCACAACTAGGGCTGAAACATAACCACTTCACAACCTGTTAACAGTGCAAGTGGAGGGAACTAAGCATGGCCAGCAGAGAATGGTCAGTGTGTGGTTGGAACCATTGACAAGGTGCACAACCTGAATGGAAACTGCTGCGCTAAACCGCCGTACCTTTGCCCAGTGAAATAATGCTGAACAAAGCACCCGTGATCAGTGTGTTATGATGCTCATTTGACAGTGAGAAGTCACAGGCAATTTTATTTTTTAAACACATTTTTATCAATAAAAATACTGAAAACACTAATATGATGCCTTAATTGATATATATTTTACAGATGCATTATAAGTACAATGTATTATATGTAAGTGTGCTATTTATTTAAATGAGGTCACAGTTTGATGGAAATTGAAATTTTATGAATACTAGTGGGATGACCCCCACAAAAGATTAAAAACAATTGAGATAATTTAGCATTCAATGGCCAGTTAATTATAGCATGACAATCCAAAGTTTGATTACAATATGAGCACATGTTGTTGAATTGACATATTCCATCTTTATAAACTTACCAGTTGTAGCATCAAGTGCTACATATGAAGCAGTGAAGCCTTCTCGTGCAACGCTAGAGTCTGTGTGGAATATAACAGTGATCAAATTGCCGTAACTGGTATATGCTGGTGGAGGTGTGGTGCCACAGAATCTATACAGAACGAGAAACAGTGTAGCACAAATTATTATAATAATTATAATTATTACCATATTATAGTTCACTGCTTCCGCATGAAATAACATCATAATGCACTTCCTCACTACAAGATATCAGCTAATCACTAACAATTGTATGGAAACGTGTTAGCAGTGATCACATACACTACCAATATTATTACCAAACATAGGCCTAAAAAACATAAAAACTCTAGCCCAAGATGGATTTTTTTTGTGTTTTTAAGTAGTCCTTAGTAGGTAATTTCCTCATTTACATATGTTACACAGGCAAAAATAGAGATATATCTACTAACATCTACTATTATAAGTCAATCATGACATGATCATTGTAACTCTATTTTACTATCCCAAACCATGTACCAATTTGTTGTTAGTGCAGAGTTTGCTTGATCTTCAGGTATGTATTGCACACTGCGTCGAAAATATTCTAAGTTAGCATTTATACCTAGCACAATGCCATCTGTGGAGAGAGGGCAAAAATTTGCCCAATCCTCAATGTGAACGAGTGGTAATTCATCAATATGACATTTTTTTTGACGAAAATCTATCAGAATATTATTAGTACTGTTGTAGTGTTACTGCCAGCACGTACTGTAGTAACAATCCTCATATACACACAGCTCCTGTAAATGTACGCGCAGAGCTGCACTGATCATACCACTATAATAACTGATGACTGCTACAACAGTTTAAATAAATATGTTTACAATTCTACCATTAAAAGACGGCGGTTGACTCATAAGACACCTGTACTTATCTATTCAGTACTTAAAATAATTATACTTCAGTTCAGATTAATGCATTCTAAAAATTCCTTAAGGGATTTTTTTTCATTCATTAGTATAACTGTCATATAATTTCAACTAGTGCATGATACTCAACTATACTGATTATTATTAAAAAATTTTGCTATATATGTCAATTACAACATGCAGAGGTTGGTTGCAAGGTAGGAAATAGCGTTGACTGTGTTTTATAAGTCATTAACCTTAAAGCATATTATCAGGACTGACTAAAAACTCACACTCTGAGTAACAGAGCTATTCTATATTAATACAACATGCATTTTTTCATACTGTACCATAATGGAATTTCTATTAGTCAAGAGCAAAATAGATTTATATTCACAACATATAATTTCTCTAAATCTACAAATTTTGCTAGGCAAGTAATTTGTTTGCAAGAATTAGTGCATGAAATCAAAATTAAATAAAAGAAACAAACAAATTAGAATAAACAAATTAGAATACAACAAAGCTAGTGCTGTATACCAAATGTACAAAGTTAAAGTACCAGATAACAAGCTAGGGTACCAAATATAAAGTATACCAATGGTACATAGCTAGAATACCAGATAACAAGCTAGATTACCAGATATAAAAAGTATACCAATGGTACAAAGCTAGAGTACAAATACCAAGCTAGGACACCGGATATAAGTACAGGTGTATACCAAGGATACATACAGTGTAGCTATACCAAATACCAGCCTAGAATACCAGATATAAGTATACCATGGATACGAAGCTAGGATACCCGAAAGTATACCATGGGTACATAGAATGCCAGATACCAAGCTTAGGATACCAGAAAGTATACCATGGGCACATAGCTAGAGTACCAGATACCAAGCTAAGATACCAGATAACCATGGGTACATAGCTAGAGTACTGGATACCACACTAGAGTACTAATTAAAAATACAAAGTACAAGAAACATGATATATTAGGTTACCAGGGATACTAAGCTAGTGGATTAGAGATAATAAGCTAAGTTAAAATCAAATCAAATCAAATTAAAATTTTTCTTTATTGCAATCACATCAAAAATACATAGACTGAATTTACAAAAAAAAAAATACAGCAAATTGACAACACAAAAGGGCGTAAAATAAAACACACAAAAAACACAGAGGAAAACCAAAATATTTACGGTCGGGGAAGGTGTAGAAGGTAATTCAGTTAGTTCTTGAGCTATTAGAAATTACTGTTTACATAGTTGTATTAAGCAGTCATGCAGACAAGGTAATTTGAGAATGACCAAGGCAGAAGCATACTAGATATTGGGTAAGATGCTCTGAACACATTTATGGACTTTTTCTACTTGATTTTTCTTTTCTTTTTGTCAGACAAAACAGACAAGCGTATTCTGCAATTGGTCTAATGACAGAGCAGATATAAATAAATAGAATACACATCTAGGGTACAGGATACAAGGTAGAATGAAAAGACACAGAGTTATTAAGGAGTCAGTGATAATAACAAGCTACGGTACTAAGAGACTCAGCTGCAGTACAATGGGAAAAATTTAGATTAAAAGTGATAATATATAAAACAGAGTTATGTCCAAGGGTAAGTAAAATACACAAATCAATCGTGATGTTGGTAGTCTATGAGTGAGATACTTACCTGGATAACCTTAGCTCCCTTCCTACCTTCGCCGTGATCGTGTCAATCTTTAGGGGATGAGGACGTTTGTTAGGGAGACGGTTCGCACGTGGCGCCTTGGATCAGACTGTTCCACTTCTTTTTCGAAGGGGTGTTCCGTTTTGGGAACAATGGCAATTAGTTGGTTATCCAGTTAAGTATTCACGAAATAGACTAGGTTACCAGAGACAATTAGTTACAGTACCAGAGTCAACAAGTTAGAGTACCACAGATAACAAGAGGCTACCACAAGATATCAGAGATACCAATATTACCAAGATACTCAGAAGCAACAGGTGCCTGTGTGTGGGCGTGTTAGTTAAGCCATCAAATTCACCTTAACAAAAGTGCAAATTAGGTTGAAAATTTCGCACAAATAAAATGTGATCTGATACAAAAGAGGGTGATAATTATTGACAAATTTGCACTATAGTACAGTAGTGCAACACAAATTGGTTAAAATATTAGTGCCTCATTTATGCCACAACGTTGTCTCTGAGTAAGAAAATATTAATGCTATCTTTTGACCAAAGCACAAACACAGTTGCAAAAAAAATAAGTAAGAATTAGTGGCTGATCTACACCATGAAGCAGTACTCGAAGTACAGAATCAAGTAGGCATTGCCCTTTTTACCTGCCAAAAAATCCAGGAATGGCAGTATTATTTGTTTCCACTGTTGAGTTTTTACTCTCAACAACACCAGAACTGTCAGAAAAATCAATTTTAATGATATAAATGAACATTTGTTGTTAACCAAAAACATAACTGTTTTATATGTTATCATCAATCATTATCTATTATCAATCATTATCGGTATTATCAGGGCCATTAACATCTCAACCAATCACCACCACCAAACTCTAATCATCTACCAATTATCATCAGCACTGTCAACATCATCACAATGATTCCCTCATCATCACCACCACTGATATCCTCATCATCATTATCCTCTTCATAACAATCCATTACAAAACAAAAGAAAAAGCTAAATACCAAATAACTAATTATTTTGTTAATGATACAACTTGTTTCCGTTTAATACACCTACATTAAATTTGAAAGACAGAAAACATATTGTATGCTGATGCACTAATGATTATTACCTTCCATAAAACGGGTTCACTGCATTCGTGCTGTTATCATAAATTTCGACATAATCGTAATAACAATTCGAGTGAGACTCCAAGCTAAATGTTTCAAACGTCAAGCGAATGATGAATCCGTCATCTACATTGATCACATAGAAACAATCGACACTGTGCGGATACTGGTTTCCTAGGCTTGGCGAACTAAATATGCCCGTCAAATCAGTGTACCTACCTCCACAGCCATCTAAAGAGATCAAATGGACAGCTGGTAAATTATCTCAAATATGAACATTTTGAATTACCACAGAAAATAAACTGATGCTTTTAAAAACATAATTAGTGGATTAAAACATACCACCACTCCCTAAGCCTTATAAGCCTGGTTCACATCAAACTTTTATCTAAATATAGATCCACTTAACCAGTCAATTATAGCTAGATAAAGGCTTAAGTCACATAAAGTTAAGTGACTTAACTTCACTAGAATAACGGTAAATTAACTTGCTTAACGGTAATGTTGGCTCGGATTACAAGGACATGATTACATAACATAGGCATCCAAGTTAGCGTTGTTGTATTGTACCACCATTATCATCCTCTAGCTGGCAACAACATACTTCAACAATGTTCACAATAGCAGCAAAGTAGTCTCATTAGTCTGGTTTTCAGAAATTATTTGTAATATTATGTGTAAAAACCCAGAAAACTTCCGTTTTACGAATAGTCGATATTACTAATGACCTTTGCCCTTTGCATCATCGACCAAATAATAACGTAAGTCCGATTGCGTACGTTTTTTAAAGTGATAATGTATATTTTTCTTAATAATAAAATCAGATTTGTTGTATTTATTTATTGACAATTCAATCTTTTCCATTTCTGCTATAATAGACGCTATTAATTCAGTTTCAACGAACTACCACCAATGCCAGTCGTTAAAATGAACGCACATGTTTACGATGACGAAATAAAAAAGTGTGTTGGAAGTCAGCAACTTTTTCTGACACCACGAAGCTGGATTTTCGCGAAGTGCATGTAAACAGCAACACAATTCAGCGATCTAAAAACTGCAAAAAAAAAAAAAAAAAAACAAACAAACAAAAAAACAGGAAAAAAAAAAAAAAAAACACGGCAGAAAGGTCCATGAAGTATACAGACGTTTTAATGAGAAATAAAACAATATTTTGTTAAATGGGAGAATGCTAGCGAAAATAATTTGGTTTTTATCGAAGGTAAATTTAGCTAGGGCCTACTACTACTATTGCGGTAGACCACGCTGCTGCACTGTTGGTTCGTACTACCTGGTCACCTATATATCAATGGCAGAGGATAGCTAGGCTAGGTAGTGGAAACTGACACCAGATCAACAGTAGTTTACGAATTTGTCGACTTTTTTACGAATACCCCTTGGTACTAGAGGTTTGTAAAATACAGTAGACGTTATTAAACAAGCCTTTCCACGCTTGTGATGTTGACGGCCTCGAAGCTGGCTGGCTGTTTATCTGGCTCTAACTTGGCATCGAACGCAACTAGGGATAAATCGTATCATATTTCAAGATTTAGTTAAGTGGCTTAACTTCGATGTGAACCAGGCTACTAAGAGATTTATAAAAAAGCATCATTCCATCCTGTAAGCAGTGAGTTAATTAAAAAGACACATACATTTAATATGATCACAGTACTTCATACACAGGTTCATAATGAGTCAAATGTAGCAGTTGAAAGCTATTGGTGAGATAATAATACTTACTGGCTCATAATTTGTAAAAATCTCTATTTACTATTCAACAGCATTAATAACATTATCTACATTTTTTTTTTACCAATTTTTGTTAATTTATTTTTTATGGGATCTATCTATCTATCTATTGCCATTAATATCATTATTCTCATTATCATGTAATTATCATCAATGACATTAGTATTAACTTTTATAATTAATAATATTTCATGGAAAGACAAATCACTGGCAGTATTAACCGACCTCCTCCTGGTATTTCATCTGAGAATGTATACTGGGCTCTGAATCCATAGTTCGTTACGGATCCGTCGGTGATGAAGTGGAGAAGCATTGTGTTGCCAGTACTGGAAACCGGGGCAGGGAGGTAGGAACCACACAAATTTACAATCAGATCAGCATTATAACTGTCACCATCATAAATCTGAAATCACAAAATGTATGGTTGGGAGGGTTGCTGCAAAGTGGTTGATTATGGAAGGGGAAATTCTATTATTTTAATTAGTATTTTGTTTTCAGGTGAGAATGTTGCATGTTCCCTAAATAATAGAATATATGAAAGAAATATAAATTTAGCACCAGAATGGTATTCTCACACATTGTATGATGGATGGGCATCTTTAATATATTAATATTAATTTCAAAATGTGTATTCCCATAGAATACATAAACATAACAAAAACAAATGAACAAATAATAATTTGCTAAAATGAATATAAATCATAATTACAGTATGAAATTATATTTCAAATTAATTTTTGGTAATGTGAGTTTAAAAAAATAATAGGAAAAAAATATGACTTGAAATATTGTTATGACAATTTTAAAAAACTCATTCTCTAAATGAAAAAAATTTGTCTTCAAATGCATTACCGCTAAACTGTCATAGACACAATCTGGATGCGATTCGATATCAAATGTTATGAATGTGACGGTAATTATCTTTCCATCCGGCGCGTTTATTGTGTAGTCGCAATGCTTGTTGTTCGGGTAGGGATTCGGGAAATAGGGTGACCTCATTTCACCTCCGTCCTCAGTATAGAAACCACCACATGCTAATTATTAAAAAAAAAACAACCTTAATATATTATTTGTTACAATATTCTAATAAAGGATGAAATCTGTCTTGTTAGAATTGTAATGTAATTAGAATTAATACTGGAATATAACAATAACATGTCAAATTTCTGTACTAACTAAAATATGAATACTGACTTGTCATACATTTTGCTTTTGTAGCATGACTAGTCCTCATCCAATATTTTGTAGATTTGTGTTATAGTGTAAAATTGGTGTAATTTTTTTTTTCGCAATTGTTTTCATACATACTGAGTATTCAGTATATTTCCACGTCAGGTGAGGTAAAATTACACCTATACTTGATTATCCTGACGCAAATCCAGTTATTAGGCACTTTACGCAACAGGAAGGGAAGACGGGCGGACGGTGGTTTTGTGTTTATCAGAGCGTGAAGACCACAGTAAACAATAGGGCGCTTAACCCGAATTGCCGTTTTCGACGACTCCCCATCCTCTTGCGTAAAGTTCCCATTGTCTATTCCATCACGACAATAACAATTACTATAGCACCTCCTAATATTTATAATTTATGATATTTTATCAGATTTGTGCACAGGTGTGGACATTAAATCATCACAAACTTTTGGTCCTTACTCAAATTAGTATACGATGAAGCTTAAACTTTTTTTGTAAGCCTTACCAATAAAATAGCGTGCCCTAAAACCCCCCTCAGGTGCTACAGAAAAATCAGATTTAAACTTGACAAACATGAAGTTCTGTGAAGAAACAATTGGTGGTGGTATTGCAGCCGGGTTACAGTATCGTCCCATAAACGGTGCGAGTTCATCTGCACCATCTCGAATCTGTAGAACAAACAAGTTACACCTCAGGTTAACTACATCATAAAAGTAATTACAAACTGCATACATAGATTCTAGACATCTGATTGGATAAAAAGCGAATAATAACTTCAACCATCATACCTAGGACATAAGTTGAATGATAGTTCATAAATTCCCAAGGGAAAAAAGTACTATCATCAATACTAGTACTTCTTTTTGCCCTGTCGTGATGTAATCTCTAGGCCCTACTTATACTGTTTCTATGTAATTTATGAGATGCACAGATGGTAAAGGGGACGCGACCTCAAGGACGCTAAGAGAGATTGGCACTTTGATCACCTAGGCCTACCATGTAAGTCTGGGCCTACTTGGTAGGTACTATATTCATTATTTTTTAAGGCCTTTTAGAATCTACGTATGAGGTATATAAAACAAATATTGACTGCTCTAGATTCGAGGAAAATTGAAATATGTAGCCCCTTGGTGATGTGGAGACTGTAGCCTATACCATCTTAACCCTCTAGATACCGTCTTCGACTGTAGTGGGAATTGACCTCAAACCGAGAATTCCCATTTTCAACTGCAATCAAAATTTAGTGACTAAAAAATAGGTGGTTTTCAAATCGCTCTTCTGTTTTTATTTTAGCTCCAATACGTCAGAAATTTTGAACATGCATGCGTGAAGCTTGCTTCTTTCAAAATCTGTGAAGAACTCACATGCGCTTATATAAAAATGTTTAGAAATATCAATTTGAAATCGTTATTAATTTCGAAAATTTTCTGAAATGGCCGCACAAGATGTGTACACAGCTGAGGAAGCGATTGACCTGATTTTTGATTCAGACAGTGATGAAAGTGAGTTTTTAGATGTGCGAGACTTAGACGTGCCTGATAGTGATGACAGTGGGGCTTCAAGTACTTCTGACGGCGGAGATGTTCTTGATGAAGATGAGCCTAGGCCTGGAAATGTGAAGGTGGTCGTTGCTTTTGTATGGAAAGAACGTGCTTATAGTTATGGATGGTTGGGTAAATAAATTATATAACTGTGTGGAATAGGAGTGTTTTATATTTATTTTTATTATTTTTTTGGCTATAATTTATTTATTTTTTTTTTTGGTTTTTGCTGACGATTTGTATGTAGCATTTTTCTGTCATTTCTATTATATTATATATATTATATTATATTATGAATAAAAAAACCTAAAAATATAAATTATACATCAAATGAAAGCTTATTCTATAAGCTTTCTTTGTTTTTTAGAAACATTTTTCTGTATAATTTACAGAAAGTTCCCAAAAATCCACCAGAACGACATATACTTTAAAAAAACGCAAAAAACCTAGTTAAACTGCAAAAGAATCCGGTATCCAGAGGGTTAAGTAGTAGGCTACGGTCTCCACCTTTACCCTCATGAGCAGACAATAATTGCATACATATATTGTATGTAAATATATTTACACATTTTACTAGCTATTTTCATTTTTTGTAGTAGTAAAAAGCAAATAAATTTAAATCAAATCTTACTTCTACATAGTCAAAGATGCAATTTCCATGAGTCTCCAGTTCTAAGTTGGTGATGTTTAGGGTTATGACCTCTGTAGACGGCACTTCAATGACCCACACGCACTCAGCGTTATGAGGGTAAGCATTTGGATAATTTGGTGAGATGATTACTGCAGTATCTGCAGTCAAGCTTCCACCGCATGCTGCACTTGCTGCAAAGAAAAAAATTCCCATTATCCAGTGGCTGTGCTAGCGTAGAATATAATTTTCTTTCTCCCCCACCCTAAAAAATTTTTCCCCTAAAAAAAAAAAAGAAAAACCACAATTCGTCGGGAAGAAGAAAAAATAATATGTATTTTCTACATAAGTGGATTACGTATAAAATCAATTAAATAAGCCTCTGAAACCCCACTAATTTCAAGACATTTTGAGCAACGCCCACTTCGGGTCACCCCAGCATATTGATAAAAGTAATTGCTCAAAAAATTCATAGATTTAAAAAGTATAAAAAAAAATGTGAGATTTTTAAGTTTATTGAAAATTCTTTCAATTTTTCAAAATCCGAAATATCAGCATTTAAAATATAACACTGTCCTCATTTATAAGCCTGCTACCTAGAAGAAATTGGGTCAATTATGGGAAACCAGTGGTGGGATTACACAAGAGCAATAATGGTACTTATATTAATTTAAGTAATATTTTAAGAAATAATAATAATATTTAATACAAAAAAAATAATAATTAATACAAAACAATGGTTTTGCCGCCTATGAAAATTTGCAACCAAAGGGAGGTGGGGTTATTCAAAGGTTTGTGGCTTATTGTAACCCTAACCACAGGATTTAAAACATATATTATATTAAAACCATTTTATTAAAACTTGAGAAGTGTCTCCTAGAATCATATTGTGAAAGTATATAAGGATTTCCATTAAAAGAAAATATGTAACATACAAAAAAAATTATTCAGTTAGAGCTTGAGAAATGTGTCCTCTTTCTATAAAAAAAATAAAAATAAAACAAAAAACCAACCCTAGATTTTCAAGATTTTGGGTCAGTTTTTTTTATTCTCTCAAATATTACAAAATACCTTACATGTAGTAGAAGTGTAAGTGATGTGAAAACCTCTGTCATTCTCTGTACTGTCACTGTGGAACTTGATCCATGCATAAGGGCCGGTGGTGAACACCGGTGGAGGATTTTGAACGCTGCAATACTTCCCCAGTAATGGTGATGTTTCAGAAAGACCATCACGAACCTATATAATAAATATGAGAAGATCAATACAATTGGTATCATTGATGGAAAAAGTCTATGCCAATCAATAACAGGCATAAAAACAAGGCTGTAGAAATCTTAATGCCATTGTCAAAACACCTTATAGATTTATGTCAAACCAATGGCGAGTTGATTGGCCGAGCAGTTAAGACAGGGGAACCGTGTCATACATACAGTATGGACGCTGGTTCAAATGGCATGCTCGCCTATGGTTCCGGTGGTGGAACAAGTCTTCTGGTACGAGGGCTCTAAACCATAGGTCCAGTGTACCAAGCACTCCTTCAAGAAGAGTAGGGGGTTTACCCCAATGTACTTGTCCATTTCAGCCCCCTGTCTGGCCCCTGAAGTAGCGTTTATGTCGCGGCCCATGTAAGGTATCCTACCTGCAAATCCTTCTACCACACTACATAAGCAAGATCATACCTACGTAGTGAGTCAAGATAAAGTCAAACCAATTTGCACATGTGAAAAACTTGGCTTTCAACCGTTGTTCATGTTTCTATTTCCTACATAAATTTATGTGTTCAGGGTGCTAAATGATCCTTCCTGCTAATGCACCTGTCCTATGTGCACATACTTTACCATACTTCCTTCATCCAAGACACATGGAACAGCAACAAAAATAGACCAAAAGATCAATCAGTCAATCAATCAATCTATATAACATGTCTGTTTTAAAGGTTTGATTTTCTATATATTTCTTATGAATTATTTAAAATTTTTAAGTACCATCTATTAACTAAATTTCTTCTTTTTGATATATTATGTTATGTCATAAAGAGAATATTATTTGCCTAGCTTATGTATGTGGAAAAAACTGAATGGACATCCAGTCTGTACAGTACTTTAATTATAACATTTTCCATAGTACAAAATACATGCAGTGAAAAACAGTAATTGTTTCACTCACTTCAAGATAGTCATAATCACAGTTGTCATGATGCTCAAGCGAAAGATATCCAAATGCAAATGTAATAACATTCGTGAGATCAACCGTCACACGCCAAACACAATCACGATCGTGTGGATAATTCCCAGGATACCCAGGTGAATTGATGCTCCCGAAGTTCTGGTCGTCCAAGTCACCACCACAAACAGGTGCCTTACTAGTCCAGGAAACAGTGAAGCCATCATCAGCAACACTGTAGTCAGAGTAGAACCACATATAGATTTGATAGGAAGAAGTTGTGATCTCATCAGGTGGCAAATTACCATTACAGTATTTGCCAATTAGGTGACCCGAGGCCGAAGGCCCGTCATGAACCTGTAGAAAGTCGTATGCGCAGTTTGGATGATGCTCAATGCTAAACTGCGGAAAGCTAACCACGACAACATCGCTGCGATCCACCTGGATAACCCAGGCACAGCTGACTTGATGAGGATATTGGCTGCCAGTTGATGGAAATTGGAATGCTCCTGTCGGACTTGTATACAAGCTACCACAACCTGCAAAAAAAAAAAAAAAAAAAACATCAACAGTGTTCAGTAATAGAATAGAAAGGAAATAGAGTTATCTACTTAGTCTGTTGATAGGGAATAATAGTTACTGGTTGAAATAGGGTGGAATTGCTGAGATAACTGGCTAAAATGCTTGCCCATGGTGCTGAGTTCAACTCCAGTTGCAGTAAAACCTTACTGTGAGACTTGGTCTATATTGAGAATCTTGTGCATATGTTTATCTTGTGAAGGGATTGCTATTTAAGAAAGTGCTTAACCAGCATATTTTGTGTTGTTAAACTTGTAGTATCCGTTATATTTTCATTGGAAGTTGTTTTCAGAAAGTACAAGTAAAATTTGTTATGTATTCTTTGGTACTCATTAGATCCAATTATCACAGTCATTTACTATAAATAAAGTATAAATTCAATAATGAACTAAATAACAGGAAGAACAGAAATATTTGGGTTATACTTATTTTATGTGGAATTACCACTTTAAAAGTTCTTTTGTTATCTGTTAAGCTACGTTCACATCAAGTCCCGGATCTGGTCAGGTGCCCGGACAAAAAATTGTGAAAAATGGGTTCAGTGGTAAAGAATAGGAACGTTTACATCAAATTCGTACGATTTCCAATCCAGACTCCGTATCCAGACCGTAAATCTGAGAGCCATTTTGACCAATCAGCAACAATCTTGGTTGGTTCGAACCAATAGAACACATGCGCACTAAACCCGAATAGCTGTGTTCTGTTAGTGATGTGAATGCAGCGTTCAAAATCGTAGCAACTCACAATTTTTTTTCCGGGCTCCAAACCGGATCCGGGCTTGATGTGAACGAAGCTTTAAACGCCAAAAAAAGAGCCAGCAATATCCAGCGATTAATATGTTCGGTGCCCAAAATAATCAGCATGCAGCACAGCGTAGGCGCACTTACTGAAAGTGGTGTCTTCACAATTAGGTCCGTCATACCCTGAGGCACAAGAGCATGTATACCCATCGACACCATCGCTACAAGTACCACCATTTTGACAAGGGTTGCTGGAACACTCATTGACGTTATTCTGACAGTTATTTCCACTATAACCAGGGTTGCATATGCATATGTATGAAGAGCCAGAGGTCTAATTGGTGAAAAAATTATAAAATGTAGGCATACAAAGCTAGCCAACTAAACACAAGAATAAGATATATAAGGCTTGCCATACCAAAACCTCCATCAGTGACACCCAAAAAATGAAAAATGACTTATTATATTCTTATTCTCTACATTGTAAGCTTTAATATAATGGGTCATTTTTATTGGAATTGACTTACTATTGCCAAAGTTATTCGTGAAAGTATTACAGCTTCTCTGTACTAAAGTATACAATACTGACACATTCTCATGCTAAATACTAAGTTTAACGATTACTGTCACTACGCTGGTTTTGGAATGCCAAACCTCATATAGTCTATGGAACCATTTGAAAACCTATTAAAAATTATATTAAAATTAACATTTATTGCTCATTTAAAAATCCCTTAATGAAAACATCATCAACTTTCAATGATTTTTAGCTAACCCAATATACAGAAAACAGAAACTTTATTTGTCCAAAAAAGGAAAATCATTCTGTCAACAAGCTCAATAAAGACACATAACTTTCAATAAACAATATATATATAGTTAAAAAGTATCAAAAAAGTTGTTTAGTATAGTAACTATTGTTTACAAATTAAAAAAGTTAAATTATTATGCGTGGTTGGCTTAAACCAGATCATGTAGACAAGAGTGCTCAATGCAGTATATAGCAGAGCAGATAGATATAATATATGTCTACATATAAATATATATATATATATATATATTCAGTATGTTAGTGGAGCAACTTTTAAAATATCTTTTCATCTTTTAGTGTGATAAAAATTTTGTTAACCAACCTGGATTATTAGTACAAGTAGCGTATTGACTACATCCTCCATTGTCCTGGTAACACACACCGACATACGTGCAAGTCACACCATCTCCAATGTATCCTATGGGTTCAAAATGAATCATAATATTTTAGCATGAATATTTACTGATACTTTGTAAAGATAACCAACCTGGAATTCTTATAATTTTTTCTTTTCTGTGACTACCGTTAAAATATTTTCGTGTTTTATGCTTGTTATTATGTAAATTCATAGGATTACCTCTTCGATTAATGTGAGGTTTTTATAACAAATAAATAAAAATTTTTAATTAAAAAAATGAAAACATTTAAACAATTTGCTTAAAACTTTTTCCACACTATCAAATTTTATGTGAGAAATATTTTTCATTACATCCAAATATGTGCATATCACATATAAATATGGGCATATCACATACAAATATTGGCATATCACATACAAATATGGGCATATCACATACAAATATGGGCATATCACATACAAATATGGGCATATCACACACAAATATGGGCATATCACACACAAATATGGGCATATCACACACAAATATGGGCATATCACACACAAATATGGGCATATCACATACAAATATGGGCATATCACACCAATGAAAATTTTATAGTGTTGACAAAGCTTACGCTGAATTGCTCATTTTAAGATCACACATAGTTTTCCAATGAGACACAGATCAAAGCAAGGTTTTTTGCTGACTTATTTCATTGCAGTATTTTTTACAACGAAAAACTGATTGATAGCCAGATTAATATTCTATGCAAAGAATATTAATTATGCATAAAAGTAAGCAATTTAATTACAAGTATTGGACTATATTTTATATAGATGTACTTTCCCGTTAAAATGATTAAAAAAAAAATCGTTATTTTCAAAATTAACTTGCTCAATTTGTAGTAACATAACAATTATTAATTTGAGCATAGAAATTATTGAATTTAAAAAATAGTCATCGAATCCAATATTGCTGAATGCAAGCCAGGAAATGACAGCAAGCAAGTCATAACCAAGGCTGTTCAAGTTTTTTTTATTATGATGGAACATTTAGGTGTAATCCGGGTGATCCCACATGTTGATAAATATTGGATTATCATAGAAAAACCCATTATCTTTGTATTTGAATACCAATCTGACTCAATAGCATGCTTATATTAGTTTAGTATTTATAAATAGACAGGGCTGAATGCCGTATTCATACATACTATAATAATCCCATTAAGTTTATATAATATAAACCTGAGTCAAGGGTAGATTCTAATCTGTCTAGACCTTGAAAGATCAACAATTTACAAACCTAAAAATCTTCGAACAACAAAAATGATAGGTTACATACAGTGAAGTTAAGTAAGTGTTTACCTACCGACAGGGCATGGCCCACAAGTTCTAGATCCTACTGTGTTTATACACGTAACAAAAGGGCTTTGAGAGCAGCCACCGTTATTGGTATTACATTCATTGATGTCAGAGCATTGATGTCCATTACCAGTGTAGCCTTGAATAAAACAGTATAAAAAAGTCATTTTAAAGGAAAAAAAATTGATCAGGTTATCTCTTTTCTTTGGTAAATCTCATTTCTAGCTTATCCATTATGGATTTGATGGAAGCATTTATAGTAGACAAGACCAGATTAGACCTATCAGACCTGTGTGTATGTGTGTGTACACTGGGTTGTGCGAAAGAATGACCCCGGAAAAAAATGGCCCCGGAAAAATTGTCCCAGTGAAAATGGCCCTAATGACAGGTAGGTAAAAATGGCCCCCAATGATGAAATTCAGTAATAAAAATAGTTTTGAACAGGGTTTTATAGGTGGAAATCATATAAATTATAAATAAATTTTTCTTTTTCTTTAAAAATTAGATCAATTTATGTGATTCCAGTACACAATTTTTTTTTTACTCCTCTAAATTATTTATTAAAAAAAAAAAATTACAGATGCATATAACATACTGAAAATTTATCAGAAAACAATGGGCACCAAATTACATTTTTTGATATTAGTAGAAATAAAAGTTTTAAAAACATTATTCCACTACCAAACCAAGTAGCGGAATGATATGTACTTCTGCTACCAAAATATTCAACTCATAATAGATAACCACAAAATTCACCTTTTTTTTAAGTATCAAATGAAATACAACTTCACGGGTTATAAATAATGCAAATAAACAGTAGTTGAAGCATGTTGATCAATTGTGTGGTTGAATAACAAGTTATGTATGGGAAAAGGGAGAGGCTTACTTTTTACAAAATTGGCAATAAACTTTCTGTTTAGAGTTTTACTTCAAAGAAGTATTTGTTAATCAAAGATTGATTTTAGTAAACTGAAAAATTAGTAATAAATTTATTTATATAAACACCTTATTTTAATTTAGACAGTTGGTTTTTATGCCTAATAAATCCAAGTGACTAGTGCCTATAATTGTTTTTTTAAAGCAATTTATTATTTTCAAAACTTAATAATGGTTAACTAAGTTATACTCAAATTTTCTGTAGTTATTTAAATATGACAATTATTCTAAGAATTAGAATGGAGTGTAGTTATGAGGGTAGGGTAATTATTCGCACCCCAAAAATTTAATCCAATTTGTTGTGTTGCGGTCAATGGTAATCAGGAGTATTCAAGTATCATTCACCATTCAATTTTACCGGACGTGCACATTTGATACTTCGCAACAGGCTAGCTAGAGTATCGGTCAATGCAATAGCGCAATAAATAGCCAGGCATGCAGATACCTATTGGCCAAGTAGAAGGAGCTGGAAATCGGAATAAATTTACTGTATGTTTGACAGTACACAGACATACTGCTATAAATAAAATGTGTAAAATATAACAAGTGTTTGACAGTTCAATAACAAAACTAGACCAAGGGGTTTAACCAGAGCCCTTTTAATTTTTGTTTATCTTGTATTGACAGACCTATAATCTACACAATATAGCATAGTGACTTATATTAACTAAAAAAAAAATGGTACAATTATGTGTCAGGGCACCCAACATGCACATCATGGCTCTATTCTTTATTCTTAGCACTAACATATGGCAAATAATTCAAAAATCAACGAAAGTAAGTTTATAATAAGATATGTAATCTTACCAGTTGGGCAAGTGCCACAGTAGTATGTGCCGTCTAAATTAATACACTGAACATATGGGTCACTGGAGCACGGATAGACCCTATTTAGGCATTCGTTGATGTCGACTGTACAGGCTGGGTTGGCGGTGTTGTCCGACTGCCATCCATCGAAGCATATGCATTCATACTTGGCCTTCATAGAATCAATAAGTAAAACACTGAATGATATACAAATATATAAACATTCTTTCTCTCTTTAAATATTTGTTGTCCCATGCTAAATACTAAAAAAATCAACTTGCCCATTTTGAAGTAACATGAAAGTTATCAACTTGAACATAGAAATTAGTGTATTTAAAAAATGTCTACCCATCAGTTTACAGCGAAAAATGATAGAAACACTTTCAGTCACTGTATTATTGTATTATTTTTATTATAATTTTTTGGTTTAAAAATCAGGGTACACATTTTTTAAATTCAATAATTTTTATGCACAAGTTAATAATTTATATGCTATTGCAATATGAGCAAGTTTATTTCAAAATTATTTTTTATGATTTTTTGACATTAGCAAGCGACAATACATCTTTAACAACCAAATTGATGTAACAGAATTGTGGACATTATTGGATAAACATAATTCATCAGGGTAAGAGTGAGGCAGAGCATAGTACGACTTAGCAAACAGCTTGACAGCATCCAAACTCAGTTTAAGCATCTGTTTTATGAGCTATCACTGTATCTGGTTGAAACTTGCTGAATTATTATCACTAGAGGTGAGGTTGTAGTGGGAATGGGATACCTTACCAGAAGCACATGCTCCTTCGAATCAAAGACTGAAAATTTACATGTTTTTGATGGTTAAAATTTAATTAGAATTTTATTAGATATAAGGCAAGACTTCTTTTATTCCTTGTTTCGCAAACCCATTTTTTTTAAAGATCGTCAGAGGTGGGCAGAAAAAAAATAAATATAAAATTATGTTTTCTTGTTTAGCAAATAAGTTTTGCCAAAAACATCCGGACGGAGGATAAAAGTAAAATATTATTATTATTCTTTAACGACACTTTTACAACAGTGGCACTCCTACGTAACGGTCCGTCCAAAGAAAAACAAAGCCAAGCAAATCAAAACTTAAAACATAAAGGCAAATGAAAGAAAAAAAAAAGTAAAATTAAACAGAGAAAACTAAACTAACAAGCAAATGAAAAAAAACTCACTGCCCTCACCCTTCTATTGTTAAATGTAAAAAGTGTAGTAATGGGATGGTTAAATACTTTATATGATAAAATACATTAAATTTTTATAAATAGGAAGAAATATACATATCTTATTTTTGGGAGATTTCAAGGCAAGGAAGGGCGTAATAAAAATAAAGAAAAACTTTTTTCTGAAATTTCCAGTTTTCATGGCAGCGGGTGTGATTGGCCAAAAATAAAATTTTATTTTTATTCTAAATTATCAATATTGCAGGGCAGCGGATTCGCGAAACAAGGTATAAAAAAAAGTCTCATCTAATCCTGAAAAAGCATTCGAGGTGTTTGCATGTTCGTAAAAACTTCAGGTTCTTTTTGTTCTATTTTGAAAGCAAAATTTACTTAGCCTAAAGCATTCACCAATTGTATGTTTGATGTTCCTTGTCCACTCCTTTAATATTCTAAAAATAGTTTTATTCAAAGGTAAATTCTTTCTTAATTCACTGTCTTTCAATCATTGATCTTACCATGTCCTTTAATTGTTTAACAATAAATTCAATAGTTTTTCTTTTATCTCTGATGTAACATTTTCATAGATTTTATTACAAAGGTACCTTTTCTTAAATTATTGCCTTTTGTTTGTTCTTACCATATTATTAATAGTTTGACGTCTAAAATCATATTACTTTTATCTAAAAATTTAGCAATATGTTGCCTTTTATTAGTTTTTGTTTTATCTTTGATCTTTTGCTTTTCTTTGTACTTACAGGACAAGCAAATTTTCTTCTGGTGTCAGAAAACTGAGCAACACCCAAAAAATAAGGGCAGACTTGATACTAAACAAGAGTTGTTGAAGAAACAATATTACGCAAGCTGATAGTATCACGGTACTAACCTGGTTTTCAACCACAATATTACACAAGCTGATAGTATCACGGTACTAACCTGGTTTTCAACCACAATATTACGCAAGCTGATAGTATCACGGTACTAACCTGGTTTTCAACCACAATATTATGCAAGCTGATAGTATCATGGTACTAACCTGGTTTTCAACCACAATATTACGCAAGCTGATAGTATCACGGTACTAACCTGGTTTTCAACTACAATGTTACGCAGGCTGATAGTATCACGGTACTAACCTGGTTTTCAACCACAATATTACGCAAGCTGATAGTATCACGGTACTAGCCTGGTTTTCAACCACAATATTACACAAGCTGATAGTATCACGGTTCTAACCTGGTTTTCAACCACAATATTACGCAAGCTGATAGTATCATGGTACTAACATGGTTTTCAACCACAATATTACGCAAGCTGATAGTATCACGGTACTATAAACCTGGTTTTCAACCACAATATTACGCAAGCTGATAGTATCACGGTACTAACCTGGTCTTCAACCACTCGGTTCTGGTTAATGCAAGTTCCATGCCCGCAAAGTTCCGCACTCGAGGCTGTTGAACAGTCTTCATACTGAATCGTGCATTTTGGGCCGTACCAATTTGGCGCACACGTGCAACTACAAAGATGAAGGACAACAACAATATTTATTAATTTTATCATTCTTAATATGTTGTAGAATTAAAAAAAAAAAATTTGCACTATGGATAATATAAATTCCAAATCTTCAAAAGAAATCTGATAGTATATGCCAAGCATAAGCACCATTATTAATTTTCATCATGATTGCAAGTGTACAAAGCATATGCTAGGGAAAGGGGTTAACACTGTATGCATCTTATATAATGAAGATAAATATGATTATCAAAATGACAACAACTAAAATTTTATTGCGTACTCTTTCAAAGAAAGGAAGGGGAGTCACAAAAAGGAGTGTTTTGTAACCTCTTGAAAATGATGGAAAACATTTTACCTCATTAATGGTCACAAAGGCAAACCTGAAAAGATACCTTGAGTGATTTTCTCTACAACGAAATTAATTGCAAAAACCTGAAGCTCAATATCTCTTAAACTGCAACTTTATCCTTTGTTTAATAATCTGATTTAATTGGGGTCATGCCCATACCAGTATCATCCCTTGAAATTTAAATCCATTGTTTAGTAATTCTGTTTAATTGCAATCTATGAGTACTTTGTATTTGAGGTTTTAAGTTGCCTTTGCATGCTTGTACATCACTAATAGAATTGTCTCTATGGGTCCAAAGAACATGACAATGTTCCTTACACCATTAACAAGCTCATTATTGTTAAATGGGTATATAACCCTATTCTATTCTTTTAGTATATCGTTGAACATTATTTTCTTATAGACTCAAAAACTTGTACGAAATTTTCTGACTACATACACAAAGCATGCATGCATTAGTTTACAATGAAATTTGTGGAAAAAAAACCAAACGTTATGTAATTCTAAAAATGTAAGCTTATAATTGTTTTTCCAACTGACTGTCATATTACACTGAAGTTACCCTATTATTCTAAGTTATAACAACTAATACTGTATACATTGAAAACAGTTAATATATTGCAGGATAAACAAAAAATCTTGTAAACTAGCATCTAGTACATCAAATTCACATGCTCAGTAGTACAAACATACAATGTTGTGTAGAGTACCATAGTATACCACACACCATGGGTTTAATCAAAATACTAAAAACTATTGAACACCACTGATGAAGTGTTTGCCTAAAAGTAATACAGTCATGGTACACATGGTAAATATGATTTTCTGGTATCCTGGGACCAGAAAACACCGAAATATTTTTTAGTTCTTAAAGCTCTAATACTTTGATCTCAATGGTTAGAAATGTAGGGCCGGTGCATTTTGTTCGATGTCACTGACATTAAAGGTAGTTAACAATTTGGTTACCTGAAGCTTCCTTGTGAGTTATAACAAGTACCTCCATTTTGACAGTCATCTGGGCCTCCGCTGATTAGTGAGCATTCATTTACATCAGAAGAGCAGGTTGGACCCTAAACAAAGCAACAACGAATTCTTAAGTATGAGTTACAAGTATTAAAAACCTGAATATGTTATTATTTTATGCTAGCTCCTTGATTTTTAAAATCCAAATATTAAAATTAATTTCATCACTCCAATTCAATTTGCTACTGCTATATTTGTGGGGTTTTAGGGAGGAATTTTGTTTTTATTTGAATTTGTTATGGTTTCCAACACATTATTACATTAGACTTTATATTTTTAAAAAATAAATATTACTGAAAATTTGTCTTTCAAACTTCAAATATTAAAATTACTTAATTGATAAATATCACTCCAATTCAATTTGTCACTGCTGTATTTGTAGGGTTTTAGGGAAGAAATTGTTTTATTTGATCTGAATTTGTTGGGTTTCCAAAACATTATTATACTAGACTAAATAATCTTTAAAAAAAAAAAGAACATGAATGAAAAATTGTGTGCAGGAATCCATTGAAAAATTCTTGGTGCATCAAAAATGATAATGTACTTTAAAACAACACTTAAATTAATTTAGATGTAATCAACCAATATTTGTTTTAATTTATTTACTTTGAGCATAAAAAACAAAGGTTTTATTGAAATGTAAAACGAGTAGAAAGAATAGAATGGGGCACTAGGCTCTGATAACGAAACAGCGTCACTGTAACCCCATCCTGTGCACATAGGAGCTTTGTATGACAGCATGCTCCAGTATTTCCCCCTTTTATAAATACTTACCTCCCAATTACTGGTGCAGTGACAATAAAAACCACTATATGTATTGGTACATGTTCCTCCATTCTGACAAGGGCTACTTGCACAGTTATTGGCATCCAGATTCTAAAGGTGAAAAAAAAAGGAAGGAGAAAAGATAATATCACTCCAATTCAATTTGCTACTGCTGTAATTATGGGGTTTTTGGGAGGATACTTTTTTCAATTAAAACTTTTGTTTTTTTGCACTGTAACTGTCAGGTATGCCACTTCAGTTATTTATTTTGTTTTCTATTTCCAGAATAAATATGAATTGATTTTAAATAAGCTTCAAAATACTAATTTTTTCCATATTCTTGGCATTTGATTGGTTCAGTATGGGTCACATAGGATTAAATAAACTATAAATTGCAAATTGCAAGTGAAGTGCTGCGAAGTACAACTGAATATAAATGTTCTTCGAACAAAATTGTTTATGCGAGTCAAGTGAAAATAATGAATAATAAAAATATAACAAATAATATGAGACACAACCCAAGTCGTAATTTTTCATTTTTGTCAAAAAGTGTCTATAGTGGTGAATTATGGTTTAGGTTTTTTTTAATAAAGTTTCAAAAATTTCTATGTATGTGGAAAATGTAGTTGATTACCAAAGGTTAAAATTTTTATTTTGAAGACTGCATGGTCTAGGAAGTGTAAATTTTTTTATGGGGCACGTTTCCAAGGGTGGGTTTTCTAGGGGCGAGTTGACTGCCAAAGAGTGTTGCCAAAGTGCGAGCCAGCGTGTTATTTGATCACAAGTGCGAGACATCGCAAGTGTGAGCCAGCGAGCCATGATGTCACGATAATAGATACGAGATGTTACTCGAGTTTGTGCGAGATATCGGCTGAGATTTGTGGAGTACAATTCCAAAAACAACTATAGGTCTAATAATGAATTATTGTGATGTTAAATAGACAATGTTAGCTATCAAGGAGCGACGTTGTTTTTCATTGGGACCTTCATCCCTTCAAGGCTAGGCCTATAACATCCTAGCTAGTCTAGGCCTAGAGTAGGATAAGGCTAGCGCGACATGCGGACGTTGGTAGGTGTTGGTTAGTCTACAAACGTCGCCTAAAGTAATTGATTTTACCCGGCAGAACGAAAGAAGGAAACTACACTTTCAGTCATCTTAGGCCCTTGTTTTTTGACAAATAATGACCTTTCATGTCAAGAATATGAATTGGCTGCTTCGCAGCAATCATTTCTTTCATTGCAAACAAGTGTATTGTAGCACTCACTGATGTCACTTTTCTTCACTTCCAGTCAATGAACTATCCATGAATGAGGTCAGAAAATGTAGGATGGCCACACAACAACCTTTGGTACTTTATACTATCCAATTGACAAATGACAAAGATCTTCATATACTTCAGTGTACAATAACTTGTACAATAATGATGTTTTTTTACACTTCCTGGGGTATTAAATGCGACATTCTAGTGTATACACTCAATATTTGTGTAAAACTCGGGTACACACTCAAAATGATATAAAAATATATTTTTTAACAAAAACGTTGTTAAATGACAACAGTAAGTCCACAGTGGTGCCAGTGCAATGAGATTGGATCAATATTTGTGTTCCAGGGACCAAGATAATATGACAGTAGTATTAAGTGACATTCTACCTCTAGGCACCCACTGTTTGTGTAATGACTTTTTAAAAAATTTGGATTTTTAGCTCCGATGGGGAGTTCTAGAAACACTCGGCTGATTGATTAATAGATCTTTTTTATATGGGCAGCCATACAATACACAATATACTCTACTGCCTCTATTACACTGCAATCATCGGAGCTTTCGAGATTACGAGATCTTGTTTATGAAGACATAGAATACATTATGAAATGATATAAAATACCTGTACCTTTTCTACAAAAAACATTGTTTAACTAAAAACAGTACAGGAATGGTGCCAGTGAAATGCTTGTGTACCGGGTAACAGGATTATTAAGGTCATTTTTAAACAGCAATATGCTGCATATTAATATTTAAAAGTAATTTTCCAAAAAATGTTAGTGTAAAAACACAATTCATAATTTGACCCACACAGGCCTAACCCTTATACTTTGCGTTCTAATCAATAGCTGTGATTGTATCCCTAGTTTTGAGCAGGCATTTTCATGGTGTAACAGATTTGGCTCTCTTCTGACTCTATACGCTGCACATTTTTTGGTTTGTATAATAGGTACAGGAATAAGGTGCTCATACTGTATATAGTCATCATTCATAATGTCTGTTATAGTTTAAAAGTCTTTTTACAATTGGTTAGTGTTAAGTTTGAATTATTAAAACCTTTAAAATGTTTTGATTTTTTTCACTCTTATTAGAATTCTGTAATAGTTCCGAAATAATAATAATAATAAATTGCATCGCTGCATCTTTATGGTAACAAAGCATTTTCTTTTGCTTCACCATTTATATGGAAGTTCGCAATTCACTTTCTCTTTAACATTTTAATAAACTGTCTGAAAACACATCTTTTTTCAACATTTTAATTCAGTTTCAGTAATACTTTATGCACTTACACTTTGTTTATGTGCTACAGTAAATTTATTAAAACCATGGCAGCATATTAGTTGCACCAAGTGGGTTAAAATACAAAAAAGTTCTGCATTCTGGAAATTAGTTCTGCATTATGGAATTTAGATTAGCATTCTCATTTTCCGCACCCTATCCCACACCCTACACCCAAGGCCGAAACCTTGCATACTCTTTTCACTTATATAATGAAAATGACAAAATATATGAAAATATATAGAAAAATATAATAAAATGTGGCTCACAGTTTTTATATCATCCACTTCAGACTGGAGGCTACTAAGCTGCAAAAAAAAAAACAGAATACTGTAACAAGAATGTTTTAAATCCTATTGTAATGCATATCTTTACCTATTATAAAATCGATATTATCAATGTTAATTATTAAAATCGTGCATTTGTCTAATAGTACGGACAGGGCGTAAGAATTAAACTTGGGTAGCGTAAAAGTGGCTGGAGCAGCGGTTGGACTCTGAATCTTGAGGTCAAGGGTTTGAACCCTTACAGTGAATTTCTCTTATGTCTTTGGCCAAGACTACCTACATTTGTCCATTAGTATCAGGGGCGGATCCAGAGATGTCCAAAAGGGGGCGGGGGAGAGATGAAAGGGGGGGCCCCGAAAAGTTGGGGGGGGACACCAAAATTTGGGCCGATCGAGACAACAGTGTCCTGGGGTCCGGGGGAATTCCCCTGCTAAAACTGTATCATACATGTTTTTTTGTTCTATGTGTTCTATAAGTCGACAGTGATTTAAATCATTTTCTTAAGTCCATTTCTTCTGGTTTTCCTCCCCTTATGCTTTTCATCTTTTTACCTGCTTTTACAATTGATGAAAAATAATTTAAATGAAAATAAATTGACTACAAAATTTAAACAGAGAAATAATTACAGAATATTGGCACACTACTGTATAAGTACCACACAGATAAGATTCCTACTACAAGAATATTGAATCTCAAATGTGCTTACAAGATATTCCCCAATGTTTTAAGCGATACAACACAATTCATGTTATGATTGTCTAGAAGCAATTGACATTCTTTTCTATCACGGAAATGAAATAATATTGGTATAACATGACAGGCTATTGCGAAAGGGGCCGCAGGTGGTGTAACCATACCTGATAAACTCGCGTTCAAGCAGTGATATCGATTTGGCTACTTTACTAACAGTGTCAAACATTTGGCCAAATGTATAAATTTGTAACAAATTGCAACAAGGATGTGAGCAAAAGCATGTAACAGTTGCGTTAAAAGTTCCCGAGACTTTACGAGGGTTACACTTCATCTACTGTACATGTGAATTGGAACTGTAAGGTGCATAGTGTTCTTACAGTGATTCATTAATGCCCTGCATACACTATTAAACTTATATTATTTGTTACCTTTTTCATATGCCTTTTCTTTGCCACCTGTCTCGGTTTGTTATCTATGAACCCTAATTAGTTAGGTATGTATTGTATTGTTTTGCCTCAATGGTTTTCTGTTAATTTTTGTCATCTTGTTCTGTCCCAACACAAGATGTTGGCCTTCTTCCTTCTTTTGCATTCCTTTACTTTATATTAAATATCCTTTTCTGTTAGGCTTATGTGAATAATTATGTATTTTTTCTGTTATGGAATAATAATATAATTTAATTTAATATTTAATTTGGTGTTGAGTATGTGTTCCATATGTGTTTGATCCAATGACCAGGATAGTAATGTGAAGCGCTTTGTGTATGAAGAGCTATATAAGAACGACGTATTATTATTATTATTATATGTATGAGAAAAGAAATTAAATGTTACATTGAATTGAATATATCCTTTTCTGTTAAATACATGAGAAAAGTAATTGAATAAAATGTTATATTGAACTGAATATTCGACCGTACTTCGTTTTTTTATATTGTATCCGTTTTTTTCCTTGAACAAAAAAAATGTTTCTCTTTCAATATCTATGCTCATCTTCATGAGAAAGTTCAAAAAGAAAGTGTGAAGTAAAAACACATTAATATTTTTTATTTCCTGCAAAACTATATATAACAATTTTTTTTTATTTGAATATAATATAAATATTTAATTTCAAGGCATTGTCTTTATTCTATATTATGGGTTTCCCTATAGCTTGTTTCTACTAAATTTCATTTTGCTCTGTTGAATTGTTTTGCGTTTTTGCCAAAATTTTCAAGATATCCTATCAAGTACTACATGGTTGATGTGGTTTAACAGATTATGAACGACGTATGTTAAAAAAACTTTCAAATCTGTAAAAGCTATTCAACAGGATTATTTAAGCTCGGAGTTTCTAATGGTGTTCTCAGACTATTAAGACTGAATAAGGTCGACCATTATATGCTGGCCTACAAACAACATTCTTATATTTAGGCATGGTTAAATCAGAGTTCAATATTTACTTTACAATTACAATTGAAAAAAGTATTTCATTCTTTGCAGACACTTAAATTGGCTGGTAATTTTTCTCTCTTTTGTTTCTTTATTCATTTTTAAATGCAAGCACATAAAAATATTTATGAACATTTATGGTAGATGGGGAGCAAACACAGACACGAGTCCATTAATCGTTAGCCCCTTGGTATTCAATTTTAAGGATTTTTTCAATAAACAGTTTATAAAGCAATGACAACTAAATTGTTTTTATACAAACTCGTTAAAAGTTCTAACTTTTTTTTTAACAACTGAAATAAGCAAGTAAATGTTTTACAATGTAAATTTTAGGGTTTTCCTGATGACTTCTATCCTGAAAGACAGTACCTAATTCCTGGTACCAGCAAGGGCAAACAATAGTGACCTCCATTGAAAGTAAAGGTCACATGAGGCCTTGGGTACTACACATTCTTGAAGAAGGTGCTAGAGAAAAAACTTTGAAATTCTGGCTAAGATTATTTATGAATTGGCCAAGATAGCACAGGCCTAAATTTAAATAATTTTTTTATTATTACCTAATAATAAAACCATCTGTGTTCAAAGTTATTATTAATGATTACACTTTTTTTTATAAGAACCAGTAAAATTTTGCCCAATTTCAGGCTCAAAATGTTTTTTTTTCTCCTTATTTTTACATGCTTTTCAAACATAGAAAATTATTATTTTACACCAGTATATATTATTATTATACTGTATTGTACAGGGTATTACATAGGTCAACCCTACTCCAAATGAGGTACAATTAGATTTATTGGTTTTTCGATTAAAAAAAATATAAAAACCTCACCTGACATTTAACCTCAGCCTCAATTTGTTCTTATTTTGTTCTTAACTTTTAAGCAATTTCAGCCTAAGTCGATGGTATAAAATCAATCATGGTTTAATAATTCACATTACACTTACAAAAATTACAAAATTGTGCTTCAATACTTAAAATTAAGATAGATTTCAAGAAAGAAACAAATATTTCTTTCTAAATTGGACAATTGCCATTAATTATTCAGTCCTACCAAGAATTTAAAGCCAGATACAGTAGTCCCACTAGAATCCGCAACTTGAATGATTTTCATATATCAGATGCAGCCGATACAAAATACTATAATATGGTTGCCTTATGCACAGCAATGAATGATAAAGATGTTACAGTAACATTTTGAATAATTTAGTTTACTTATCTTACTTACTTATCCCCACTAGAGAATAAGTAGTTTCCCTCCTCCGATCCTAACAATATGTAATAGTTACCGACTGCGGCAAAACCAGGCGTTTGCGTCAAAAACGAAAATCTTCAAACCACCTAAAATTCTTATGTATTGACCACATCAAAGCACACTGGACTGAAAATATATCATAATCTTTGCTATTTGTTATCCATTTTTAACAATTGTTGCATCAATTATTATTAATTTTTTTAGACTAGAGCTGTTTTTGCTAGAGTGTGTTCCATCTGGCGATATATTTTCTAATAAAAAATATAAAGATCAAAAGATCAAATGTAGCAGTAGTGGCTGGTGGTACTGTCGGTAACAATAAAACCAGAACCAAGTCATGTAAATCTGGAAAAAAAAACTTTTGGAAAGGGAAGTTGAACATGTTTCGTCTCCCACCAGGTATCAAATGAAATACCATCAATGGATTACAAGGACAATGACCTGTCATTGTTGTACACAATTTACCAGGTTCCTCCTTGACAGGGTCTTGGGGCCTGCCGGTACAGAAAAACCAAAAGGAATTGGTTGTTGTAATCGAATTTCCAAAAATTAAGAACATAATTTTAGCAAAAACCGATTAAAACTGATAAAAAAAAAAACATTTTATCAAAATCCTTGATTTCCCACGACACCAAACAAAATTACATTGTGGGAAATCTTCTTATTTAATGGGAATTTTAACATGAATGTGTTCTTCCCAACCAAAATAACTAAATAATACAAGGATATGCTTGAGAAGAGACAAGTGTTACTGGAATAATAAGTACAGTCAAACATTCGATTTACATACACCTTGAGACCACAGTAGTATAGTAAAATAAAATTTGAACAACTTTCCTCTCATTATTTAGTTCTCAATAATGATGATATAAAATTTAACTTGAATATTAAATTATTTTTTTTTAGAAATACAGTCACAATTATCATATTATACCTACCATAAGGCGAGACTTCTTTTAATAAATTGATTAGCAAACTTACTTTTTTGTAAGAGCTGGGCGTAAAAAATAAATAAATGAAATTATGTGTTCTAATTTTGGCAATAGATTTTGCCAAAAGCATTTAGGCAGAAGAAAATAAAAATGAAAATCATTAATGAATGTAAACAGTGTAGTAATGAGCTTAATAAATGCTTTAAATTTACATAATTAAGAAGGAAATATTGTAATTTTGAAGATGTCTGGGGAGCAGATGGTGTAAAAAAAAAAAGGAAATTTACATTTTTTGTGGCGAAGGATTGAAATCACTATTATCAGCGGTCACCATCTCTTATCTTATCACCAAGATATAAAAAATTCTCGCCTAAAAGTAGCAGGGTTTTTTAAAAATGTTTTTTGGGGTAAATACTTACTATAGTAGAGCACTTCCTTGACAAGCAATGCAGGAAGTCATTTGATAGTCAAGTGGAATAATAATATACTGCCTACTGCCCAGTCCCAGGATACATCCTGTTTCATGTAGTTTCAATATTCATAAATCTTGGCAGAGTCCTAATTGTCAAGACATTTACCAGTTGTACCTATGGTGGGTACAGTAAATCAATTCACTTTTCTTTTCTTATTTTTGCTCCTGTCAAATTTAAAGTAATTGTTTTTTTTTTCTTTTAATAATTTCAATTTTCTATTATTTATTTTGTTTATATTTTTCTGCAATTCTGAGATATTTATTTTAATATTTTGTTTATCTTTCTTATTCAGCTGTGATGTGACCGGATGCAAGTTTTATTTTTGACAAATATTGTAAAAAATACCTTTATATTGCTTGGATGAAGCGCAGTGAGCTGTACAAGAACCTGTAATGCTATCTTATAGAATATCGACTGAATTTGACTTTGATTCTGCCCCGTGGGGGTGAAAAAAAATTGATGTTCCGTTAATTTTAAATGACTATTATGTACAGGTTTTTGTGCAGCTCAGTGTGTTTCATTTAATTTACATACTTAATTGATAGTAACAATTTGTTCGATATGCAACTTTCAAATTTCTCCTGCTACTCAAATTCTTAAATAAACCCCTGGGTGCCACTGATCTGAAAGTGAACCCAATAAATAGTATCGTATCATATCAGATTATACTATCATTATCATAAATAAATACTTCATTATAAATACAATATGAGTACGAACATTGTAGTTATGAAGTTAATACATAAATAAAATAAAATATATAAATGTATAGCCTGTCAGATAAAAAAAAAAACAATACAAAGTTTTAATATTGATTTCTTGTTTTGTTTATTTCCATATTATATTTAGGGCCAAACCATTGCTTTTTTCCTAAACTTTAAAAAAAATTTCATTCAGGGAAATAATTTTACTGGTTTTCTGATAAGATCTAGTGAAATTGTTGAAACTACTAATCTACTTATTTGTGGAATATAGTTCATACTTAAAGCCATCTTAAATAGTATATATAAAAGGCATTGCCCTTTTTCTACTGCAAAGTGCATTTACATTTAGTATAAATTTATTTACCAATGAAAAGGAGCCCACCTTGTTTGGGCTGTTGCCAATACAGAGTCGTAAACATTTTTTTTTGCTGGACCAAGGTCTAGTTTTGCCAAAATAATTGCTTGCCCTTATATATCAGCTAATGAATATTGGTCTAGTTTTAATGTATTTTTTGCTAGCCCAGCCCCAAAATACTCAAGTCCCGGACGCAGGGCCACCAACTTTTTACAGCCCTGCAATAGTCGGGCAAATATAGTTCCATCTGGAATTGAAGAAAAGCTTTAATAAAATTATCAAATTATAAATTAATATTTGGAAATAATAACATGTTATTTGCTTTGGTAGTAGGCATTTTGTACTACAGTGGACCTGATCTGTTTATCGCCTACAAGAAATAAAACTATGAAGTATTTTTATTAGCGCCAAAAATACCTACGATGCCTGCACATTAGCCTTACAAAATGTACTAGCTAAGGGAAAAGACATGAGCATCATTAAAAATCATATTTTCATTGCTTTAATTAAGTTAAATATGAATAAATTTCATTTTCTCATCTTTTATAATGAACAAGTTGATAATGTTTGTTTTCCATTCAATGTTTACATCAATTGAGATTTTACAACACAGGACCCCAAATAAATATACACTACAGCTATAACTTTATTTATAATAGTGGGTATTGTGTGCATACGCCTACTTCACTTTATTTAATGAAATGAAAGTAGCAATGTTATGAAATTAATTTGTTTATTCAAAAATAATTCCAATTTTAATTCATAACAAAAGGTTAGTGGTAATACATTTTATATTTAAACCAATTTTCTTAGCTAGCATACTGTAAAATGTAAACATTTTCACTCAGTAAACAAAACTAAATTGACAATAATTAGCTAGAACTAAAATTACAAACTGAAACAGCTACCGTAGCTAAAAAGTTAAGCCATCTTAAAAAAAAAAACGAGAATTGTTTTTAAACAGCTGGAAACAACAGTACAGTATACAGTATACTCATGGGTATGTTCTTACAGTTGAAGACATAGCAAACATGTAGGTTATTTACATACAATCTCAATATTTGCCGAGTTTACAGTAGTATACAAACAATATTGCCCTACTGTACTAAATCTCTGTAAAAGAATTCAATGAAAAGATCCAAAAACATGTCAAGTAGTTAAAAGTATACTTGGTTAGGTCACACAACCTAGGTCAAGTCCCTCTGTACCTACAATAAAAATGTTACCTGGACCAAATGGTACACCTACATATCTTGCTTGTCAAGAACCAAAAAACGGTTCCTTGATAAGCGTCCAGCAGTACCAAATTGACAGATGCACACCATTGAACGTTAGTTAAATGCACCTGGACAACCGAGTGTCAAGCTGTTCCAAACTACCATTACACACTAAGCAATGGTAGTTAATGGTACATGGATTACTACAGTAAGAGTCCAATGGTTCCAAAACTTGCTAAGAACCTATTGACTGATTCACACCATTGAACGGTAGTTAAAGGTACCTGGATTAATAAGTGACCAGTGGTACCAATCAACAGATGCACCACTGAACGGTAGTTAAAGCATGGTTAAAGGTACCTGGATACTGAGTGTCAAGCTGTACAAATCTAACCAATTGACAGTTACACACCAAACAAAGGCAGTTAATGGTACTTCGGTTTCTAAGAATCCAATGATACCATATCTTGCTAAGAAGCAATTTACCGATTCCCACCACTGAACGGTAGTTAAAGTTAATGCTATGTCCAGCGGTACCAATCAACAGATGTACCATTGAACGGTAGTTAAAGGTACCTGGATTGCCAGGTAGGAGTACAATGACACCAATTGACAGGTGCACCACTGAACGGTAGTTAAAGGTACCTGGATTAAAGTGTACACTGTTACCAATCAAAATGCACCACTGAACGGTAGTTTAAAGTACAGTACCTGAATTATTGAGTCAATATTTAAGCCTACCAATCTAACAACAAATTGACAGTTTTACACCAAGTAACAGTAGTTATTGGTACAGAGGTTACTAAGAGTCCAATGGTACCAAAACTTGCTGAGAACCAATAGACTGATTCACATCATTGAACGGTAGTTAAAGGTACCTGGATTACTAAATGTCCAGTGGTACCAATCAACAAATGCACTACTGAATGGTAGTTAAAGGTACCTGGATACCGGGTGTCAAGCTGTACAAATCTAACTTGTCAACAACCAATTGGCAGTTTCACACCAAACAACGAAAGTTAATACTACCTGGATTACTAAGAATCCAATGGCACCAAATTTAAATTGTTGCAACAGCAAAATTTAGCTTAAAATAATAATAATAATAATAATAATAATAATAATAATAATAATAATAATAATAATATCAAAAATATGAAAATGTACTACTTATTTTAAGCTTCACTTCTTAAACTTCCACAATTTCTTTTTTTCCATTTATTTTTTGAATAGTATTCATACATATGATGCACTAGCATATATCATCCATGCACAGATGCTGCGACACTTTATAAAAGAATAAATCCATCATGGAAGTACCAGGGAAGCACAAAATTAATGTTTACCTCCGGGGATGTACATAACAATATAGCACACTATAGTCTACACTGTCGACCCTGGAAGGAATGCAAATTAAAAAGACAAAAATGTAAACATTCTTAACAAACTCTATACCTTTAACAAATTTGATAACTATTAACTCTGTTCACCTTGTTGAGCTATTCAGTAATTCAGTATAAGGTAAACAAGGTAAACCAGGGTTACAATTATATTAGAAGCACAATAATTATATAGCATGCTACTATTGTATATTGTATTATCATAGATCTGGTATAATAAAACCAAATGAATAGATTTTGGCCCAAGGCAACGTATTTTCATGCTATATATAAATAGCATCACCAAATTCAATTCAAAGTCTATTGATTATTATTTGCTTTTTTACACATCATTAGAATTTAACACTTGATGCCTTCAATGCAACTA